TTTTTCTTTATTTGTTTTGTTTGTTTGTTTGTTATTTTGACTCATGCCGCATGTCTCAGAGGCCTTTGTCCATCCGTGGTGATGGGCTTGTCGTGCTGCCGCCATAGGTTAGTCACTCCAAGTTGTTGCTTGCGATCTAGTCTCCTTCGAGAAAGTCTTGAAATCAAAGTGTAGCACTGTAGTACTGAAGGCGCTTCGTTGTATTGAACTCTATATCGCTGAAGCTGTCTTGGCCAGGCACAGTGCATCGTGGCAGCGCTGGTGTACTTTGTCCCGCAGGATGTTCAGAGAAGTAGATCCGTCAAGTCAAGCTGCGTTCTTTTGCCCGTGTTTAACAACTTTGGTGTCTCTGTCAAGAATGCATGGTGTAGAGGATGCTGTCTTCCTTGGCGGACTATTCTATGTGTGGCACAGCACAGTGCCACACCAAGTTGATGCGTTTATTCCATTGCCTTTTCGTGGCCTGTGTTGAGCTGACTGGAGGCTGCGAGCATCAGCCCAAAAGTCAAGCAAGCAGATGCCGATGCTGCCCTCGAGGAGAAACAAGATCGCAGTCAGCACTTCAGGCACTTGGCCTATCTTGGCCTATTTTCAAGACGCCTTGAGGAGTGGAAGAGCAAGAAGGGCCTCGAAAGCGTCAAAGTTGTGAAGGGCCGCAACACCTGGTACGTCACTTCCTAGAAGTTCACTTTCCCTCCTGTGCAAACATGACAGCGCAGAGGTGACCAGCAAGCTATTGTTAATTTTGACTGTCAACTGAGCGTGCTACTGTCGCCACTATAGAGGAAAAAGGCTGCCCGACAGATCAGTGTTAGTTTGTTCGCCTGATGACACTGTGTTTGCTTATCTTTGTGGTTTGCCCTGAAGACTCTCTTGGGCTTGCTGTCCATCATGGCAGTTGGGATCATGGACTTCAGTCTTTCATGAGTTGGAACTTGAAAGACAACTTGTAGGTGGTCCATCAATTGCTGGAAAGCGAGGAGTCCGATCTGTTTGGGTCAGATCCTTAGCTGAACCGCAGTCCGATGCTAACTTGGCTGTGGGTCAAAACCCGGGACACAGGTTGAAGGACTGGAAAATGAACAGAATAGATGGGCTATAGGGAGGTCAACTGGTCAACCCACCAAGGTTTAGGGCTTTGATGGGCTTTGGGTCTTGACACACTGCCACTTGAGTTCGCTGATGTGAGTTGTTTTCGTCCTCCAATTGGCGGTGAGTCGGAGAGAGGTGGCCATGGGAGCCACTGCTGATTGCGCCGCAATCAAGACAGCTAGTCATGCTAGCTATGAAGAAATTGAATTGGCCGTGTGGGCAATTGTTGAGGCATATCAAATGATTTGCTGCAAGGATGTTTGTCAGACTGGCGTTCAGCACTTTGCCAGTGATGGGTCTTCTCTACAAGCTTCAACAATTGGCCAAGGCAATTGTACATAGTTTAGAACTTTGTTTAAAGGCTCTTGTGGCAACCATTAAGAGGCCACGTGTAGCTGGAGCTTCAGTCAGAAGCTGACCACAGATTGCAGGTTTTGTTTCCATGCACAGCATCAATGCTGCAAATTGGTGCTGGCATACACTCATCGGCCAGCCAAGCAAGCCCGCTGCAGATTGAAGGTCAAGTAGTCCCGCTTACCCATGCTTAACCACTACTGCCAGGATGAGTAGATACTTGTCGTGGCCCGTCTGAATCGTTTACATTTCACTGCTCCAGTGAGTTGATTGCAACAAGGCTGCTTGGTGTAGTTATAGTTTACTGTAAGTCACAGTTCACAACTTGACCGAGCCATTTTGCAGTTAGCTGGCTGGCTATCAAGCACGGATGTGACCTCATCGGTCTCTAGACTCAGACCTCAGCAACCGAAAGAAAAAAGAGTGTCGGCAGTATCGGTCTGACTGATTGCATGATTCTTTGACCTGGCGTGTGCCCTTGACGACATCAACAGTCATCTACCCACTACATGCGATAGCGGTAGCGCAACAGATCCCGCATCCACTTCAAGTCCTTCTGTGATTTGAACACTTCGGCCGGAGTTCCAACCGCCTTCGCAGTATCGGCTGCACACTCATCAAGCTGAGGAGGCATCTCAAGCACCGGTTCTCCCGTATTAGAGGGCCGATCTACTCATTCCGAAGTTCAAATAATTTGAATTAATTTGAGATCAGCGGCGCGCATCAGGGAAGCCTCAGTTTCAAATTTCCAGCCCTGCTGTGCCGCTGTGGCCCCCCTTGTTGTCTTTGGCAGTTTGAGCTTAGTAGTTCAAGCAGCAGGTCATGCCCGGGCCGCTATCGCACTACGCTTGTAGTGCGGTGTTCATGGCAGCGATGTTTGTTCCATTGCTATTTGTTTGGTCTTAGTTCCTGAGTCAAATTGTCGGAACTTGGAACCTGCAGTTGCAACCACGTTCTGCGCTGCAATCTGCAAAGGAACCCTGTGGGTCCTGTCTTCCCAGCACCTTTTGAACAATTGGCTGCTTGCACCGAGATTGTTGTAGCAGAGATCGCCCGAGGAAGCAACATTTCTTCAAAGTTCTTGCTGGTGTCATTTGAGTATGTTGATTGGCACTCTGAGGGTGGCCCCAACACAAACAGCGGCTCAAGTTGGCCTGATCTTGCGGGCGCGGTGGTCCCACTTGTTATTGGTGGGGTGTTTTGATGCTCTCCTAGAACTCCCCGCTGGACCAATGGCCTTGGCATTTGATTTGTCAGCTCTTTGATTTGTTCGTCAGTCACGAGTCTTTTGTCCCAGACTTGATTGTTGAGTCATGCACCAGGCATTCTAGGAGACTCTTTGCGGCGAGCTGGCTGCCTTCAACTTACCAAAGCTTTTCACATATCCAGATGCTGCGCACTTGGCTTGCTTCCTGCTTTCAACTGGATTTGGCGCTTTGCTAAATATATAGAGGGAAGGAGTTAGTTCTGCTCTAGGGGGATTCAGGAAGCTGTGAAGAGCTTACAGTAAGCCAATGTTTTGGTGTGCCAACACTACCAGCAACGAACCCTTGCGCACTGCGCACTGCCTCGCGACGCAGCTGTAAATGGAGCGAAGGGCATATACCTACTGCTTGCCATTGTTCAGAAACTGATCGAGTGTATATAGTGATGTAGTGGCCAGTGGCGAAATACAATTCGGTGTTCATGCCTGCTGGACACTTGTGTGCCCTGTTGCAAGTTGTTTGGGTTTGGACCTCTTGTCTCTTCAGCTATCTTCAACTCAGCCCAATGTGGCCGGGCACATTCTGCTCCTGCAGCATGCGTGCCCTTTGAGTGGCCGCTTTGCGCACATACGGGAAGCCGGAAGAGGTGCGACACAGCACGCACGCGTCATCAAGACAGCAAGTGGCCCAATGTATATACAGAGCAAGTCTGCAGGTGTCAAACTGCATGTTTTGGGCTTGTGAGGCTGAGTTTGTTCGGTGTGTTTTTGTGGCTAGCAGGGAAAGGACAGACAAGGCCTGTTCGGGGGCAAGCACTCGAAGACAAGTGATGTTAGTGGATAGCAAGTCTCCCAAGGACCAAAGATCATCGAGCTGCTTATTCTATAGCAATCCGGCCACACCCCATCGCCCAAACATACTGACTGAGTATCCTTGGGAAACGCAAGAATTGGTTCGTTGACAAGGAAAGCTGACACGTCGATGTATGCCTTTTTCGCTGAACTGCTGCGATTGGCATGATCCTTTGCCACATTGAACCAGCGCAACACGGTTTCAGAGCACCCTTGTGTTGAAGAGCATTTGGCAACAAGCAGCAAATCTTGGGATTGACAAGGCACTAGGGGCCAACACTCCAATCTGAATTAACACAGGTGTTTGATAGAGTAGAGTGGTCATGGCGAGATACCCTCAACATACCCTCACGATTTTTGTTGCGGTCTGGGGCAACTCTCCTGACGAATTTACGCTGTGTAAATCATGTCTGAAATAGTTACACAGAAGCTATCACGGGTTGAATCTCCAAACTCGTGACCATGCTTTGGAAATCTTTGGAACTGTTTGACTGTATTTGAGTGTAGATATATTGAAGAAACCAAACCAACACTTGTGAAGATAATCAGTGAACCTGTTTGGAAATCAGATCACTTCCGGCAAATAATATAAATGCATGTCAGAAATTGGTGGTGGGCATTTGGTGTAGAGTAGGAGGAGAGCTGAAACTGTAGCTAGCAAGACTTGTGTGCATAAACAAAAAATCAAACCAACTCAAAACTGCCATGAGGAACTCCCACAAGTGAAAAGCGCCCTTCACTCCCTTTTCCACGGCCCAGTGGGACGAGCTACTTCAACCAACTCTGGCAGCTGCCTGACACAGACCGACGAGCTGCCAGGGCCGCGCCTCGCCCCCCTCGCCTTCGTTTGCCACGCCGCGCGCCGTTCGCCCCTCGTCCCAGACGAGACTCTCCGATCAACGCCGCCCGACGGGGCCCGACGAGGAGTCCGAGCCTGTCCCGCAGAATGAAGCGTGCGACGTCCCATCAGCCGAATTGCCGACCTCCGGCCCGAAAACGAAGCGGCTCCTGTTTACACAGCAAACAGAGAGAAGGTCCACGATCTCTTTTTTGATCCAAGCAGTGATAATATTTAGTATATGATGCTGATAGCTTTGGCCTTTCGGCACGC